CTTGCAATATGCAAACAGGCAGCGGCGGCACAGGGAGGGAGACAGAGCCAAGGACAGCTGAGCCGGGTCTGGGGGGACCCTCCTGTGCATCTCTGATGCTCCAGGTTGCAAAGCATGGCGGACATCCTGGATCTGGGAAGATTTGGGGCTGATGCGGTCCCCTCATAGCCACGGGATGGACACAACACGGTCAGCCCTTCATTGGGTGGTGTTCATTGAAAGAACATGTACTGCAGCACCCAGCAGCGCTCGTGCCCACAGCCGGGTCCCTCTGGGGCTCAGCCCTTCCAGATGATCCAGCCACAAACCGGGGAGCAAAGCTGCTGGTGGCTCCTGTCAACTGATGGGAAATGAACCAGGAGCGAGGCAGGTCCTGGGGTTACCTAAAGTGTTACTGGTGAAACAGCACCTGAGCCTCTGCTGAGCTCAAATGCTGCTCAGGGGGATGCTCCTGCCCTGCCTCGGGTTATTGTCCTGCTCCTGATTCACCCCAGAACCTTCGGGCTGGGCATTACCATCACACGGGCACTTCTGGTGCTGCAGAAGCAGAACACTACAAGAGCACCAACCAAAATCATTAAAAAAGCTTTAATTTAAGAATGGAACCAGGCAGATGGCAGGAATTGATGCTGTCGAGGTCCTGCAACACCCTCATCCCAAAAGCAGCAGCCACCCGTGTGCCATCCCCTCTGGAAAGCAGCACCAAGCCCTGCTCCTCCAGCAGAGCCAGCAGTTAATCCAAATCAGAGTTTTCTCCGTTCAGGTGCTGCAAAGGTGGCTACTGCCCCAGTTCAAGTGCCTTGTCCCAGGCCATCCTACTCCTCCATGGATCTCAGCATATCTTTTATCAGGTGTTGCATAAGGCAGCAAGTATAAAACCATAATAAACCCAAGCTAAGATCCTAATAGATGCAGGTTTCTGGAACATTCCAAAGCTCAAAGTAGGGCAGATTTGACAACCAAGTGTGTGTGTGCAGGCAAGAACGGACAGAGGTGGATCACAGAACTACAGCGTGGCAGCGCCAACATTGTATCTTGGAGCCACACACACAAGCATTAAAGGCTTTATTACCTGCCTCAGTGAAGCCTGCTCAGATCACCTGCTTTTCCAGCAAACCTGGTGAATTATTTTGGCTGCTCCAGACGTTAGGCCTGATCCCATTAAACCCAAAGGTGTCCTTTCCAGTGGGACACATCCTGCATGCAAGCACTGATGCTCTTTGGCAAAGCACTGGTCTGAGTACCACCCCTGGGAATCTTCCTCCCAGTCACTCATCACACCTGCACCATTCACTGCCTCTGCAGCCATTTACCATCACTGCACAAGGTACTCTTGCCCATGGGCAGAAGCATCCCCGAGTGCCAGTCCCCAGTATTCCAAAGGGAGGAGGGCAGGAGTTTCCCCTCCCAGCACAGCCTGGTTTCATTGCCAACACCACCGGGCAACACAACTAACCCGGTGCACAAGGGCAGCAGACTTTGCAATCAAGACTTCTTGATCCTACAACGGGACCCAACGGAGAGCAACGTTCCTCACCCCTGGATTTTCAGACTGGGCTCCCAGCGTTAGGAACTGACCTTGGGAAACCTTCAGCCTGGCTTGTGGAGCCGCAGCGTTACCAGCTGCCCGCGCCTGTCCCTGCGGTGCCTCCAGGAGTCAGGAGCCTTGTAACTGATACCTTGGCCTTTACTGCCACGTAAACCAGCGGGAAGGGGGTCAGCCATTCAGCCCGGGGAGGGCACGCAGCCCCCCACACTGGGGGGTAGCAGGAGGGACAGCAGAAGCTTCTCTCCATGTCATTAACAGGCGTTGCAATGGGACGGGACGGGTTTGTGCGAGCATAAGGCAATTCCTTGGCTGCTCCAGGAAGGCAAAGGGTGAGTGACAAGGTCACGTCCTCGTCCTGCACTTACACACCCCTGGAGCAGCCTTTGCCCTCCCCATCATGGGCGGGCAGGCACGAGCGTCAGCACCATGTTCACCACCCCTTGGGCTCTCCCGCACCCCAGTTCCCATGGTGTGCTCTTGCCCAGAACCCTTTAATGAAGGTAAAGTTACCCTCAGGTCACAGCAATGGGCATTTCAACCCCAGCCCAGCAGATGCATCCATCAAACTACCAAAACCCCACAGAACTCTGGTCTTAATTGTGTTTTATTCTAATCACACCAAAACACGAAATCCTTTGCCTCGCATCCTTTACCCAACGGGTTCCACGTTACCCATCAGCTGTAAAAACCCACAGCACAGAACACCTCTCCCTGCTTCTCTGCCCAGAGCCGCCTGGATGGAAATGTCCCCCCACCGCATCCAGCCAACAACCTGCCCGAGCCCCCACGGCTCTGTCCCACCACCTTCTGATAAACAACTTCATAGAGTCACCACAAAACGGTTTGGGAAATACCTTAAAGCTCCTCCAGCTCCAACCCCTGCCCCGGGCAGGGACACCTTCCACTAGAGCAGGTTGCTCCAAGCCCCTGTGTCCAACCTGGCCTTGAACACTGCCAGGGATGGGGCAGCCATAGCTTCTCTGGGCACCCTGTGCCAGCGCCTCAGCACCCTCACAGGGAAGAGCTGCCTGAGATGTGCTGCACAAATCCAAGTTTCTTGGTGCTTTCTGGGTCCCAGCTTGGCTTGCCCAGCACCCCGGCACTGGGCTCGGAGCAGAGGCAGGTACAATAAACCAAAAGGAAGACACAGCCAAGCTCAGTAAAGCTGCAGGGATGAAGCTAATCCTAGCAGATGATAAAGAAAAAAGCTCTTTAAGTGGTGCTGGCAATTGTTTAGAGAAGCAACACCACGCAGGAGCCCACCGAGCTGGGAATGAAGCGAGGGAGAAAGCTCCCGGGTTACCACATTCACCTTCGCAGCACTTCTCCCTTTAAAGTACTTCCCTTTGCAATATTTGGCAAGCAAAGAGCATCACCAACAGTTAAAAACACAGAACAGGGCGCTCGAAATAAAACCCTTACCTCTGAAACTCCAGAGAAGGGGAAGACTCGAAGCTGCAGCGCAGGAGACATGGAGCTGCTGGTGCCTTCCCTTGGGCTGGTGGCAATTGAACTGGGTTCAGGTGAGGAAAATCACATCACAGGTCACAGCTGCTGCTGATTTACTGATGAGGGTCTCGGTCTGCACCAGAGGAGGGAAACCCCACCTGAGGCTGGCTGCAGGTGAGCAAAGGGCTCGTTATGGTTCATCCACAGCACATGGCTCCTCTCCAGTGCTTTTCCAGGGCAACTCCCATTTAAAATGCTTGTTTGTTACCTGTTTACATTCAAATTTGGGCATTCCAATCAGGCTTGTTCAGCCTGGAAAAGAGAAGGCTCCTGAAGGGGACACCTTAGAGCAGCTCCAGGGCCTAAAGGGGCTCCAGGAAACCAGGAGAGGGGCTTTGGACAAGGGATGTAGGGACAGGCCAAGGGGAATGGCTTTAACCTGCCAGAGGGGAGACTGAGATGACCTCTTGGGCAGAAGCTCTTCCCTGTGAGGGTGCTGAGGCGCTGGCACAGGGTGCCCAGAGGAGCTGTGGCTGCCCCATCCCTGGCAGTGTTCAAGGCCAGGTTGGACACAGGGGCTTGGAGCAACCTGCTCTAGTGGAAGGTGTCCCTGCCCGGGGCAGGGGTTGGAACTGGATGTGCTCCACATGGAAGAACCCACTCGGGCAGGCTCAGGGAATGGACCCTCCAGAGCTGGCAGCCCCATGGTGCCAGGAGAGGGAAAGGACTTGCTGCTCTTTGGCATGAAATCCAGCTCCCTGCTCAAGTTACAGAACCAGGAATAACATTTGACCTTCCAAGGATAACCGAGTCATTCTACTGCAGTTACATCACTACCGGGAAGCAAATCAAGCCACACGAAATCAAACCATGGGTATTTTTAAACCCTCCTTATATTTATATATATACATATTGTTGTAATATAAAATAATATAGATGGAAATAGATTTCTTGCATTGCATGGCAGCAGCAGTGTCACCAAAGCATGCTGTAGAGAATGTGTCCAGAAGGACGGCATGAAACCAAAAGGAAAAAGCCCCATTTCCATCCTAAGGGAGAGCCAGCCAAGGAGGTGGAGAAGAGATTTGGCATCACTTATCTGCTGGGCTTTGGTGGTGGTGGCAGTTTGGCCTTTTAAAAAGGAAAAAACACAAATAAAACGAAAGAGACACAAACAAGGAGGGAAGAGACACAAACACAAAGGAGAGAAAGCCACAAGCAGTAAACGGGATTCATATAGCCCAAAAATCCTTCATAAAAAGCGAGGCCCTGGATCTCCCAGACATGGGAGGATCTTCTAATCAGCCCTGACTCCCTGTAGGATTATGTTCTTACCTTGTTCTACACCAAGGTTTCTGTGACTGTCGTGCAACAGCGCTCAGCCTCCTCCACAGCAAACATCTGTAACGCTTCTGGGGCGACCAACTTCACCAAGTCACTAAGAACCTGCAAAGGTCCAAATTATCTGGTATTGTTGCACTTTATCCTATGCTGAATTTAAGCAAGTGATGGACAAGGAAGAGCTCATCACAATGCTTATATAAATAGCAACTCTCCTTGATAAAGAGCTATAAAAAGATGACACTTGAGACAGCTACTGTGGAGCATAAGGCCCCAATGGTACCTGCCACTTCCACAGCAGGGCCATCACTAGGCCTGTCCCACCAAGTGCAAGAAGTTAAGAAACATCTTTACTACTGCAAATAAGACACCTGAAGAGGCAGAACTTCCAATCTTTAAAGAAAATGTTTAATTTTCCATGTTTACACCCATGTTTTCCAGGTCACAATTGGAGAGAATAGTCTTGAACCCCGAATAAGGATTATTCTCTCCAGATTTTACAAATGGGGAGATGAAAGAACACACATGTGTGCCACATACACCATCAGGGAAGGCACTAGAGCTGGATAACTGAGGCATATTCCCCCCACCTCACAGCCGTTGGGTTGTGGGGGCAGAATGCTGGCTCCAGGGCATATCCTGCAGCTGAGCAGCACAGCCCTTAGGAAGACAAGGGGTTCTCCTTCTGCTTTTCTGCTGGCTCTGGTATCCGCTCCTCCTGATCCTTCTTCTTCTCCTGCGTCTCTTCCAACCCAGCTTGGAGATGCGGGTGTAATACAGAATTCCTGGTTTCAGCATCCTGATGATCCTGGTGTGCTACCTACAGGTGAAGAGAGAAACAGTCGTGAAATGCTTCTGTCGAAGCGTGGCTGAGGAGAGCAATGAACGGCAACAGGCAGCCCAAAAATGCTGACAGAAAAGTCCTAATTCAAGCTTAGATTGGTGTGAAGGGACACCACAGTGTCACAATGTCACCAGGGCAACAGATTTTAAGTGAGAGTGCTGACCTCAAGCTGAAAAGATGAACTAAAGTCAGCGATTCCCTTTTCACCTGCTCACCAGAGAGCACACTTTAAGCAGACCCGATTTCTGTCCTTTCAAGCCTCTTTTATTGGGGAAAACAGTAGAGGCACTTGGCCCAGAGATCACTGGTGATGAGGAGAAGGGGGAGTGTATTACAAAGGAGAATAACAAAATGGATTTTTAATGTTAACAGTTTAATTCCGAACAGTTTTAAGCTATTTTTGAGGGCACTCAACTACAAGAACAGCATTCTCGGAATGAATGGCAATCAGTCAGTCATAACAAGGTGAAAGATTTCCACCCACCACAGAGCAGCCATGCTCTGCTCTGCTCCTGTGCTGTTCCACAAGCTGCTTCAGTCTGGTGGTTTACCCTGTGTTGAGGGTTACGCGGCACAGCCTGAAGGGGACTCCACGTGCCCAGGAGGCATTGCCTCCCTCGTACACCCAAGAAAACAAAGCAGTAGCAGAACACTTTGGACAGTTCTTTTGGTCAGTTATTTCTTGCCAATAAGATGAACCCCCGGAACACAAACCCCTACTTCCATACTAGGAAAAATAAAAGGAAAATCCCAACAAAACAAACCACAACCACCCAAACTGCAAGATTTATGCAAGAAATTCCACTTTGGGATCAAGACTGAAGAACAAGACCACCACAACCATCAGACCTGTTTGGCTGAGAGTTTCATTCAGACCAGCTCAACATTAAGGGCCTGGAAGTGCAGTTTTCTGAACCCACTGGCCAAGTAACTCTGAATGTTTAATACCTACTTTATCTGTTCCTTTTCTCTGCAGAAATATGCCACTGGCCAAAAGGGCTTTTCCTGTTTCTTCAAACAATTTCTCCTCTTCAATTTTTCCTTCTTCCTTCAGTTCATTGTATTTCTCAACAAACCTACATGTCAAGATTGTATTTTTACTCTCACAACATTCGCTCAGGGGGAGAAAGGGCCAAGTGTCAGAAATACTTCCAGTTTATTCCTAAACAACCCTTACCTCTGGCATGTAGATTTGTAGTTTGACTGCGACAGGTCGAAAGCTCTTGGGCCACTGCCGTAAACTCTGTAAAACCTCCTACTCCAGAAAGAGAACAGGTTAGTTTTTCAAATCATTAAAAAGTGGGGGTTTGGAGTAAATAAACAACACAGTTAATTCTGCAAGAAGGAGGAGTATTCATGTAACTACTTCTGCTTGTCCCATTAGCTATTACATTGCACCGAGGTGCTCATCCCAGCATTCTTAATTGTTTTAATAATCCCAGACTGTGTTGAAGGGACCTTAAAGCTCCTCCAGCTCCAACCCCTGCCCCGGGCAGGGACACCTTCCACTAGAGCAGGTTGCTCCACAAGCCCCTGGGTCCAGCCTGGCCTTGAACACTGCCAGGGATGGGGCAGCCACAGCTTCTCTGGGCACCCTGTGCCTTTGGTACCTCCAGCAGCGACACAATGAACACAGAGATAAAGCCGTTCCTCCGGACAAGCAGAGCACACGCCGCTGCGGGGCTGCTCCCTCGCTCCAGCGGTGGGGCAGGGGCAGGTCTCCGCGCT